TGAACTTTCAACGAAATCGCTTAGAAAAGATGATTAAGGGCATTCGAGACACTGTGGAACGCGCATGCAAGGCGGCCATGTTGGCCGCACAGATGGAACGCGAGAGCGTCAGTGCCCTTCACGCCGAAGATGAGAAGAAAAAGAGGAAACTCATCGATATTCGCGAATTGGGGACGCAGCAGAAGCCTACTTACATTGAAATGTCACAAAAAAAGGCTGTCTGCCAGCGTCTCACCGCATTCATTCGTTTATGCGACCACATTATTATTCACTGCCTGACAAACTTGGCCGCAAGAGCCGTAGAGGATGTCTACCACGATTTTTGTTACCCCAAGACCTCCGTTGTGGCACAAACCGCCGGAAGACGGCCCTCTCTTCCTTCGATTAGGTTAAAACGACATGATCCCCTTACGAAAGCAGAGGTGCAGAAGTCACCCATAAATTTTGATGGACCCATTTTGAGTCTCAGTATTCTGTACAATGACAAGGATGAGACTATTGGTATCACACCCTCCCTTTCCCACATATTGGATTGTGTGGAGGATATTGTGAAGGATTACATCAAGACATTGAGTGCGGTCCCAAGACTTGTGTTAATGGATACATTTAAAGTGTTCACGGATTTTGCTGCCGATGATCCTCAAGCGGAAGTTTCTCCTGGCCCTGCCGTTGGTGAAATGATTGTCTCTGAGGACGCATACAAACAACATGTGGTGTCCATACGTGAGGACATTGAAAAGGCATACATGGTTGTGGAAGAATACATGAACACCTTTCAATGCTTTCGGGACATGTATGTGGAGAACTGCCGTCTTAACGCTGAAGAGTTGCTGCATAGCAATATGAGCTTAGAATTCTTCCGTGAGCGCCTTGCCCTCTACAAGGCTCAAAGTGAGGCCATCACTAGTCAGATACCCAATTCAAAAAATGTGGCATTTTTCATAGTCTACACAGAAGCCCTGCGAGAGTTCTTTAGTCCGAGCCCCGTGGATTCTTTGGAGGCGTTCCATCAACTACTCCCTGTCATTGCGCACCAGCAGAACGAGTTGCTTTTGGCAGATTTGCAGAGTTGTAACGCATATCTTTCTGCCCACCCAAAGACTGTGGAACAATATGTAGAGTACCTCGCCTATTACAAGGCATTAGAGACACGATTTGATACCATTGCCACGTCGTATGATTTTATCCGTGAACTGTTTAACCTCATCCAAGAAGAAAAGGTTCCACTTGAGGAGGATGTGGAGGAAACCTACCGGAGTGGAACGAGGCCTCAGTTTGAAAAATTACGGACGTTGATGCAAATAGTTGATGATGGCAAGGACGCACAACAGCGATTCTTTATCCGCAACGTGGACGAGCAGATGGAAGAGCTTCGTCACCGTATCGAGGATGTGTACGACCGTGCCGGACAGCCAATTGTCGCGGATGACAAGGCAGATGTGGATGTGATGATTGAGTTTATTACAAAACTGCAGGCGGAGGCGGAGGGCATTGCAGCGCGGGAGAAGGAGCTCCGACAGTTTCAGATTGCCATTGGAGGTGAAGAGACGGTGGTGGAGTCCATGACAGACATGCTGAACGATGTGAGCATCAAGGCGCGGCTGTGGGTGGGGCTGCGGGACTGGGACGTTTTCACGGAGGAACAGGCAGTTATTCCGTTTGAACAACTTGACGTGCCGGCGGTGCAGGAGATTGTTCAAAAGTACGTGACGACGGTGAAGCAGGTGTCGTCAAAGTTGCCAGGAAACGCGGCCGTCTCAAAGTTGAAATCCAACGTGGAGGAGTGGCGTGTCCTCACGCCAATTCTGTTGGCCCTCACCAACCCAAAGATGAAGCTGGAGCACACGACCAAAGTCTCCAACGTGGTGGGAAAACTGGAGGATGAGCATGGCGTCTCTAAGACTCTTGCGGAATGGAACAATCAATTTACGCTCGGTATGCTCCTAAAGAATAACATTGTTAAATACAAGGAAGAGATTCTCGCCATCAGTGCCGCGGCGACGGAGGAGGACAAGTTGCAGCAACAGATTGATAAGGTCAATGCACTCTGGAATGGTGGAGGCCTTAAGCCGCCGATGGAGTTCCAGTTCCACAACCACAAGGATATCAAGGACCTCTACACACTTGTGGGTTCCTCTGTGGAAGATGTCACCGCATTGCTTGAAGACTCGTCCATCGCCATGTCGACAATTGGGTCAAGTCGTTGCTGCCAAGGTGTGTTGCGTGCGCAGGTGGATCGCTGGGAACACCGTCTTAAATACATGCGAGAGACGCTTGAACGATGGGTGGAACTTCAGCGTAACTGGATTTATCTTGAAAATATCTTCTCCTCCGCGGAGATTCGTAGTCAGTGGAAAGACGATGCAAAACGCTTTGAAAAAGTGGACCGTTTCTTCCGTGATTTGATGCGAAAGGCACATGATATGCCTACTGCCTACCGTGGGTTGCTCATTAATGCACCTCTGGAAACGAGTGAGGCGACCACCTCAAAGACACTCAAGTTGGATATTGAAAACAACATCAAAGAACTGGAAAAGGTGTTGGCAAGTTTGGAGCGCAAACTGGAGGAGAAGCGTTGTGCCTTTCCGCGCTTCTACTTCCTTAGCAACGATGACCTGCTTGACATTCTTGCAAAGGTAAAAACCCCTGAATTAATTATGCCGCACATGTTGAAGATGTTTGATGGCATTAAAACTCTTTCTTTTTTGGAGTCCAACGACATCACGCACCTTGTGTCAATGGAAGGGGAACGGGTGGAGCTGATCAATAAGAGTATCAAGGCACGAGGTCCGGTGGAAGTATGGATTGGCATGCTGGAACGTGAAATGTTTGCAACGCTTCGTAAACACGCGAATACGTGCCTTAGCGATTACGAAGCGGTGAGTGATCGCACTAACTGGATGTTTCAACACCCTGTTCAACTCGTTCTTATTATGGAGCAACTGCTATGGACACGCGGAGTGGAGGAGGCGCTTGGAAATCCACACTCCGATCGTCTCATGTCGAAATTCCGGGAGGAAAACTACAAAAAACTGGAAGAACTTGCGGGTTTGACGGCACAAAAGTTGTCCAAATTGCAGCGGATCCTTCTTTCAACACTCATCACTATTGATGTTCATGGACGTGATTTAGTGGACGAAATGTGCGAAAATGAAGTGTTGGAGGCGAAGGAGTTTGGCTGGACGAAACAGCTTCGTGTCTACTGGGAGCAAGACGAGGATGGTTACGGGAACATCTTTATTCGGCAGAACAACTCACGTTTTGTGTACGGCTACGAGTATTTGGGAGCGCAGGGCCGTCTTGTCATCACCCCGTTGACAGATCGTATCTACATGACGGTGACTGGGGCGCTGAAGCTAAATCTTGGTGCAGCGCCCGCAGGTCCTGCAGGAACTGGAAAGACAGAGACCGTGAAGGATTTGGCGAAGAATTTGGCCCGCCAGTGTATTGTCTACAACTGCTCCGATGGTGTGACGTACAAAATGATGGAGAAGTTTTTCTCAGGCCTCATCCAAACAGGGGCGTGGACCTGCCTGGACGAGTTTAACCGCATCAACATTGAGGTCTTGTCCGTCATTGCCTCCCAATTGCTGGAAATAAAACTTGCCCTGCAGAATGGACTTGAGACATTTACGTTCCAAGGGACACCCAACGTGCGCGTGCGACGCACCTACGGCGCCTTTGTCACGATGAATCCTGGGTATGCTGGACGCACAGAACTTCCCGATAACCTGAAGATTCTCTTCCGACCTGTGGCCGTCATGACACCTGACTTCCGTATGATTGCAGAGGTGATTCTTTATTCCGAGGGCTTCAAGAACGCCAAAGATCTCTCATTGAAGATCACGCAGTTGTATAAACTTAGTTCCGAGCAGCTGTCACCCCAAGATCACTATGATTTTGGTATGCGTGCTCTTAAGTCTATTCTTGTTATGGCAGGTGATTTAAAACGTTCTCAACCGGATGTGGAAGAAGATCTCACCCTTATTGTTGCATGTAATGACTCGAATGTTCCCAAGTTTGTCGCGGAGGACCTTCCCCTTTTCCGAGGTATTATGCAAGATCTTTTCCCCGGTGCTAGCTTTCCAGAGAGACAGTATGAAGAGTTACTGCCTGCCATGCATAAGAGCATTGAGACCAAGAAGCTGATGGCCCTCGACACGTGGATAAAGAAGGGCATTCAATTTTATGAAACACTAATTGTTCGTCATGGCGTCATGTTGGTGGGCGTCACGGGAACAGGAAAAACGGAAATTCGAAACTGCATTGCAGATGCTCTCTTAACGATGTCCGAGGCAGGATCAACCAATCCCATGGCGCGGCCAGTGCATCAGTTTGTTATGAACCCCAAGTCTGTGCTTTTATCCGAGTTGTACGGTCAGTTGGACGTTAACACGAATGAATGGCGGGACGGTGTTTTATCGGTGATTGCGAAGAATTGTGTGAAGGACTCGGAGATGAACCATGACCATCGCTGGATTGTTTTTGATGGGCCTGTCGACACGCTATGGATTGAGTCGCTAAATTCCGTTCTGGATGACTCCAAGTTGTTATGCCTCGATAGTGGGGAGCGTATCAAGTTGCCCGAGACCATCCATATGCTCTTTGAGGTTGCAGATCTTGCCGTCGCCTCACCTGCCACGGTCTCACGGTGTGGTATGGTGTACCTCGATGCTGCAGACCTGCATTGGAGTGCCGTTGTCCGACGCTGGGCGGCATCCAAGCTTGCCGACGCGGGTGGTGAGCCACAGTGCCGCGATTTTATCATTTCCCTTTTTGACACGTACGTGCAGAAGGGTTTGGATTGGCTTGCGCAGCAGAAGGTGCTTATCAGCGGCGGTATGGTGAATGTGGTTCAGTCCATGTGTGATCTCTTTACCGCCCTTGTGAAATTCAACGG